AACTGAAAGGATGGTTCAAACAGTGAATTAAAAATAAAGAATTAGTGAAAGCAAACATACAGAGAGATGAGAAGAGGTGCAGAGGAGAAAGGGTAGAATGAAAGGGTCCAACACCCTCCGACTGCCATTACCAAAAGGAAAGAAAAAGAAGCCACAGACAAAAGGAGGGCAGACAGCACAAAGAGCAGCTCCCCTGTGTCTGCAGACACTTACATATAATCGACCGGACAGTCACTGGATTGAAGGGAGTCCACGTGCCTGAAAACAAACAAGCAACAGGAATTAATCTAAAAGAAAATCATTTTCCTAGGACACGAAAGTTCCTCACCTATAACCAGAGGCACAATGGAAGCCACCTGCTCTAGCACAGTGGTTCTCATGAGGCACTGCTCCCAGGGACAAGCCAAGACTCTGGGGGGTCAGGGTCCGGTCCTGCACCATGCAGGAGCGCTTCATGTCCCACCAGACATTCAAGCTGTTTATGAGGATCTGAGGCTAGAAGCTCACTCTTGTTCAGTGCACAACCAGAAAATAGCTTTCTATTAATTATTGTAATACACCCTGAATTTCCCAGGAGTGCAGCCAGCAGGTAAGTTGAGAAGGTTGCACTTAGTTTTATTAGGATCACTGCTAATTACCATTTCAGAAAATCCCATCACCAAGACCAGCACTGCCCAGAGCACGGCACTGCCCAGAGCACAGCACTGCATGCTGCACTCACACAATTCCAGATGGGTGTGAGCACCTGATTGCTTCCTTATGTCTTCCTTCAGCAATCAGTCCACCAAAGCACACTGAAAAACCTACTATGAAACCATACTTCAAAAACTTTGGCTGGTTAGCTCAGTTGGTTAGAGCATGAAGTTGATAACACCAAAGTCCAAGGTTTGATCCCTGTACTGGCCAGCAAAAAAAGATAAAATTCTGAAATCACATTGTGGACATTATATTAATTTCCTTGAAACTGTGAACAGGTAAGCTATGCTCTTCTCTGATTTACTGTTGAATCTGATAAGCTGGTCAACTGTGGTGATGGAAAGCTCACCAAAACCTTTATGACCAAGAACCTGTTTTCAGAGTGATTTATACCTTCTATTAATTTTTTACACTAAAAACAAATTAAAAAAAAAATTTTAAGCGTGGGGAGAAATCAGTGGCTCTCCCCATCCCCCAGGTGTATACAAACACCATTTTCTTCTGTTACTGTTTCAGCTCTGGTGGCACAGAGACAGCCCCCGATCTCACCTAGAGCAAGACTGTTATGCTCACAGCCGACGGTCAGCAATGTCACAGCTGCGTCCCTTATGCCTCACACCCCCTCCCTCTCTCCCCTCTGGGCTCATGAGGCTCCTCCCAACTGCTGTGCCTGCTGGACTATGGGCTTTTTCTCAGCCAAGTGTGCTCCCCAACTCTAGCCTTCCCTCTTCAGGGAGCTTTCCCTGATGGTCCCACGTTCCCCCAGCCAAGATGCTACCCCCATTTGCTCCACCCATGTACATTACTCACCCTGCCCACCTGCATTTACTAAGCAAGGGCTCATTCTTCCCACCATGGCAGGGCACACTCATCCCCCTGTCCAGCACACACCAGTGATAAGCAAACATTTGCTAAACTGAATAGACTTACAGTGTGCATTAGTATCTCTATGCAGACTTTACAAATATTTGGGGGAAGAATGGACAGGAGTATGTATATAAAAGTATTAAGGAAAATCAGTATTACTGACCACTAGTATTACAAAAAGAAAGATGCTACAGAGAAGCCATAAGGCACTGCAAGAGGACAATTCTAAACACGGAGGACTCATTTCCTTGCCCAGTTCTCTCTGATCCTCCCTCTCTTATTTTCAGCTGTTGCACATTTACACGCAAAGATAAATAAGAGGCCCTTGGAGCCAAGTCTTGGTTCGCCGCTCTGGTTTCCCTGACCACCTTCTTTTCCTTTGTCTCCCGCAGAGAAGAGTCTGAACCTGCTTGCTGACCTAGTCTGAAGGCTGCACCTTCAGTTTGTCCCGACTGTAAGAAGACGCGTATCTGGGCCATCTCAGTAAACAACATGGCTGAACAAGTTTTAAAGCAAAGCGATACAGGTAAGATGATAAATAATGCTGCCCTGCAGGCAGAGAGGGTGGTCAGGTACCACCTGCACAGGCACAAGTGGAGTGCACACAGATGGTGCATTCCTCAGCTGTGGCCAGGAAGGAACCAGACACTGCACAGGAATTTTCTGAAATATTCTGAGGGTTGCAGGGAGGGTGGGAGGCTCAGGAGAGGAAAGACATGTGCTGGGCTGAGTCCAGGATTAGGAAGTAGCCACCCCTCTGCAGGAAGGCAGAAGCAAGGCACAAACATGGTCCTGGAAGGTATCTCGTGACATCTCCATGGAAACCAGTGAAAACAGCAGCAGCCAACACTTAATTGGCTCTTCACTGTATGAGGGTTCCCAGACTAACATCAATGCTTAATGCTTAATGACCGAGGGCTGGCCAGACAACTTGTGGTGCTGATAACACCAAGGTCCAGGTTTCGATCCCATACAGACCAACCTACGAAAAAAAACAAAAACAGGGCATACAACTTCTAAAATTCTTGGAATCTGAAGTGGTGTCTTTGTATGCTAATGAATTGACTAAAGGCTGGCAGCCCCCAGGTAGCTTCAGCATGGGGGCAGTAACCTAAGACCAGGCACCTCCAGG